TTCACAGTTCAGGAAACTAATCTATTGCTACTCTAATTACCACGTAATTGGTGACTTAAACAACACATATTTGTTATCTCATAGTTCTAGAGGTCAGACACCTGATACAGGTTTTCCAGGATGAAAAATCAAGCTATTGGCCGGGCTAGGTTCCTTTCTGGAGGCTCACAGGAAGAATCTGCTTCCTTGCCTCTTCCAGCTTCTAGAGGCTGTGTGGCTTCTCAAACTGTGGGTTGAGTTTTTCCCCTGTCCATTCTTCCCACATTGACTCTCTTTCTTCCCATGATAAAAAGAGCTCTCCTTGTCCAGGATGGTTAGATTGGGTCTCCCTGTATAAAACAGGGTGATCTTCCCTCCTAAAGGGGCTTAGTCACATCTTAATTTTGTTAGGTAAAGTAACATATTCAGAGGTTCTGGAGATGTGGATATAAACATTTTGGGAAGGCTAATGGATTAAAGTAATAAAGACAGGAGTAACCTGACTTTGAGAGTCTTAGGAGACTTCTCTGACTTCCTGATGTTGGCTGGACTTCACCAGAGTTGGTACAGATGGGACCCTTTCTTTTTCCTTGTCCATGCCCCCTACAGTTGGGCTCCCTCCTCTTGTCTGCATTAGCGATCATTCCCTGTAATAAGCAGTGGAGAGGTAAGGAGCGGGCAAGAAGTCGGCTTTGGTGTTTGTCCTCTAGGATCTCAGATGATCATATGGTCTTGGAAAAGCTGAAATGTATAGTACTGACCCCTCAGCTCTTAAAAAGTCCCCTAGAGTTCTTGATATTTGGACAGTAGAAGTGAAGCTTGGAGTTCCTGGTGTCTTCTCTGATGTCTAGCCTTGAAAGGTAGTGTTAATGTCAAAAATGCAAGGACCCATGTGACACACATGGAGGAAAGATCTCACTCTCCTACTATAGGCACAAAAGGCGGCTACGAGATAGTCTAAGACAGAAAGGACTGCAGAATGCCTAAAGAGATATGCAGCTGGCTCGGCGCCTGTGGCTCAAGTGGCTAAGGCGCCAGCCACATACACCTAAGGTGGCGAGTTCGAATCCCCAGCCCGGGCCCGCCAAACAACAATGAT